CTAGTGAATGTAAAGTTGTTCAGGCCTCTCAATAGCTGCAAGGGGATTTACTAGATACAACTAGGGCCTCTGGGTGAATGACGACACCCACAGGCTCTAGTGGAAAATGACATCAGGAAAAGGACAACTCCTTCCTGCCAGCACATCTGGGCTGCGAACCGCACAGTTACCCATGATCCACTCTGGAAGGCATAAAATCTAAAACTGCTTGTACCATCAACAGTGCAACATCACAAGCCACAATTCTGCAAAACATTTACGGAGAGTACACTGGCAAGTCAATTCAAAATGGATAAGAATCAGAGGGGATGTAACTAAGGACTGATGACTCTCTATTATAATTCTACACACATTTAAAGGCCCCTGAACCTTCCCGATGGGAGACACTGTGAACGTAAACAAGGCTTCGCTCAAAAAAATGACAATCAAAATAAAAATTAGTATTATTTATCTTTGCATTGGGGAAAGATACATTCCTTTCTGCTCAGTTTTCTTTACTGTTTTATTATACAGCCTCAGTAATGCTTACTGCTTTAATATTGCCCTATAAATCACTTTATGAAGCTTGCCTCAAAATACTTTAAATAATCATGGGTTGACACAAGAACAAGAATGTTATGAACACTGACACAGACTCAAGCTAAGAAATCACAAAAGAAAAGGACAGATCCTTGATGGATTGATGCAGGGCAAAGAGTTCACGAAGCCATTGTCAAATATCTATTAACATTCCCTGATGCCAATGTAGTACAGCAGCAGGCTCTTGCTTATATGCATGAAATACTGCTGTAAGGCCTAAATTCAATGGTTAATACTAACTTCAGTAAAAGGTAATGATAAACGTTTCCCCTTGACATTAACTCTAGTCGAGACTGACTCTGGCGGGTGGTGCTCACCTCCACTTCTAAGCTGAAGAGTGGGCATTGTCCATAGACACCTCCAAGGTCATGTGGCCAGTATGACTGCATGGAGTGCCATTACCTTCCTGCCGGAGCGGTACCTATTGATCTACTCATATTTACATGTTTTCAAACTGCTAGGTTGGCAGAAGCTGCCGCTAATTACAGGAGCTCATCCCGTCCCATGGATTTGAACAGCTGACCTTACGGTAGCAAGTTCTGCAGCTTAGCAGTTTAACCTGCTGCACCACCATGGCCCACTAACTGCAGTAATAATAATAATAATAATAATAATAATAATAATAATAATAATAATAATACTTTATTTATATTTCGCTCTATCTCCCAGAGGGACTCAGGGACTAATTCAATAATAATAATAATAATAATAACAACAACAACAACTTTATTTTTATACCCCGCCACCATCTCCCCTAGGGGACTTGAGGCGGCTTACAAAGGGACAAGTCCAGAGAGTTACAGATAAAAACAGAGACACATTAAAATCAATCAATAAAATAATAAAATGACACAGTCATAAAACAACATCATAAAACAGTATGGCTGAGATAAAGGGAACATAGTTGAGTTCAGGCTCAATGAGTGCAAAATTCCTAAAAGGAGCCCATGGAAGGTGCCGAAATCAAATGAACAAGGGCTGGGGGATACTATTCTCAAAAATGTCAGAGTAGCTGATAAGAGGGTCGAAATAAGGTGCAGAATTTAAAGTAGGGACAGGATGGTTTTCTGGTGAACTGCCTAATCAAAAGCATAATGGAACATCCCTCCGAAAGGAGGACAAGGTGGGAACCTGTCTGATCTCCCTAAGGAGGGAGTTCCAAAGCCAGGAGGCCACCACTGAGAAGGCCCTCTCCCTCGTCCCCACCAACCGCACTTGAGACGGCAGCAGAAGAGAGAGCAGAGCCTCCTCAGATGATCTCAGGGCATGCGCTGGTTCGTAAGGGAAGATAAAATCACGAAGATAGGTCCCAAATATGGTAATTTAACATTTTTGTAAGTTTAATTGATTCAATGGGTCTACTCCAGTTAGGACTAACAGCTGTATTAAGGCTTACAGGTATTATTTACAGTCACCTTTACGTCTGCCTAAAATGAGTTCATTCAAAATTATCAGTAAAGCTAAAAGTAACTTGAAATTACATGATAGCTATTTGTGATAGATTATTCTTTTAAAATACTACTTAGTCGATATAAGTGATGGGAAAGCATTTGAAGACTGGAAAAGACAGCTAATACTGTAAGAATAAGAAGGCCAAGAAAAAAGCAGAATAGACATAAAACATAATCATTGTGTAGGCATTTAGGTTTTCTTTAAGGTTAGTAAATGTAAACTTTTGTAGTTCACTGTTTAACTTTACTGGGATCTGAGTATGAACAAATATCTATTTTATTAACATAGTTCCCAGATGGAGTCCCATCAATAGACGCTTTATAGTCCACCTGCAGATCTGTTATTCAGGTTTTTATTTGACAGTAACATTTTTACAACACAGTCTGCAAGCAGGCAAGAGATTGGCATTCAGATGACAGCACTGCTAAATTTGCCAAGTATACTTAATGGAAATTGTTTCTGTTTCTTTTTTTAAGTATCTCAGCCAGGCCACAGTTTATATGTAGATGAATCCTGCTTTTGGTCCCAGAAAATGTAAGGTGAAAACTAGGTCCCCACTAATTAACAGAACGACCCTGTTTCTCTTGCAATGCTGAAAATAATTTGTTTCACATGTCATTATGCCTTTAGCTTACAAGACTTATAATGGCATGCAGAGAAGACCTAAATAAAGAATAATTGACAACTGGATAGGAATGGTTGAATATATGTAGGCAACAAGTCATCAGAAAGGCTGAACGAGACTGCCAGGTTTAGAGCATTGCTTTAGTGTCCTTCCTCATGACTAGCTAATTGCCCCCTTCCCATGACTAGCAAACCAGAATAATTATGCAAAGCAAAAGTAAATACAACAAACCGATTTAGTTTCCATAAATTATACTAAACACAGAGCTAAGCTTTCTCAGTACTGAATTTCAGCTCTTGAGTTATTTTGGCAAATGACTTATGAAACATGATTTCATTGGTATAATCTATTAATATTCTATGTAATACTATGAATGCTTTTTGTTGTTTGATAAAACGATTAATAGGAGGGAATACATGTATCTCACATTTGCACATGCTCACTAAACAAGCACAGCTGTAGCATGTATCACAATATGTGAACAACATCGGAACTACATGGCGCAATGGGTTAAATCTTTGTGCTGCTGAACTGCTGCCTGAAAGTTGGCAGTTCCAAAATTGCAGGATGAGGTGAGCTCCCACTGTTAGCTCTAGCTCCTTCCAACCTAGCAGTTTGAAAACATGCAAATGTGAGTAGATAAATAGGTACTGCTTTGGCAGGAAAAAGCAAAACAAAAAACAAAACAAAACAAAAACGCTCCAAGCAATCTTGTCGGCCACATGACCAGGAGGTGACAACACAAGCTCCTCAGCTTGAAAATTGTGAAAAAAGCACCTCCCCTAGAGCCAAAGATGAGCATTGCCTCCAGAAGCTGGAAATGAAAGGAGAAGCCTTTGCCTATGTTTGTATCTCGCTGTATGTTTTTGTAAGGCACTGACTATTTGCCTATGTCTTATGTAAATGCTGTAATCCGCTCTGAGTCCCTTGGGGAGAAGGGCGGAATATAAATAAAGTGTATTATTATTATTATTATTATTATTATTATTATTATTATTATTAATGTGTGTGGTTGTGGATAAAGGAAACAGCACCTTCAGAAGTCTCCATCCCTAGGTATGTGATCACTGAAAGCATTACAAGGATTTGGACCCTATGCCTCTGAGCTACCCACCCAATTCTTCCATTTTATGCAATGTAATGATGGGGGTGTTTAGGGGCCAACAAACATGTACTGCAATAGACCAAATTGCTAGTCTATAGCTTCCTGTCTAAGAAAGCCAGAATGCCCCCCCCCCCCCGGCCATCCTTCGGATGGCAGACAAAAATATTTTTATTCAGAAAGGCTTTAAAAGAAGACAGTTTCTAAATCAAAGCTGGGGGTGCTCTGTTTTATATTAATTTAATAGATTTGTTTAATTGTTTTTGACCATGAATTTCTAATATTTTGATGTTAAATTCTATTTTAATGTTTATACACATTGTTATAGTTTTTAGTGTTAGCCTCTTTGAGTCTCCTTTGGTAAAGAATTAATGGGGTATAAGGATATAACAACAACAACAACAACAACAACAACAACAACAACAACAACAACAGCCATCCTAGCTCAGTATGTTTTACTCAGAGTGGCTCAAGTCTTCTTTAGCTACCTCTGACCAGAGATGCCACAGATGAACTTCATTAACAATATTAGCAATAATATAAAGATAACACCTCACTATAATGCTGTGATGTGTTGGTAGCTCATATGCGTCCAAAAAAAATTGGTGATGCAGAAAGGAATACAGTAAATAACCTATTAGATTTAATGGGGAACTACTCTGCTCAAAGTTCCTCCTTCCACAATGAAGAGGTCATCTCCAACAGCAAGACTAATAATCATGAAGCCTATATGTGACCCCCAAGGCTGATCATCTGAGCTTCAGATCCTCCCCATAAAATAACAAAACAATTTTTTAGTCCAAAATGTAGAATGGCCACTCCTTGACCTAAAATTTTAGAAATGCACACACTCTTAGACACACACATACTCACCACACACATATGGAAAAGTAGTACATTTATTACAACTTTTCTTCTTCATGAACAGGTTGCACATTATTCATGTAGATTCTCTATTCTACTTTTTATATTGTCAATTACAGCAGTCAATTAAGCCAGTTTATTACTTATCATTAAGGCATTTATTTATCACATTAACTGCTCCCTCTGTCATAGTCTTCTTTTATTGTGTGATACCAATCATTACTGAGACTGAATCGTTTCAAATAAATTAAAATCGCTTTGGAATATTATATTGTTTAGGAATATTATATTACACATAAATGCCTAAAATAAATGAATATTCTTAAAAGCAGAATCTCACGGGATTTCTTATATCAAGCTGGATTCCAATATACATACCTTAATAGCCTACAAAAACTTCTTCCATAACTCAGTCTCTGGCTAGCTGCAGCCACACTGGGTGGAAATGGAGGCCGTGATGGGAAGTAGGCTAATGCAGCAGAGAATATCAGTGCCACAAAGCCAAATTCTAAGGGGAAAGAAGAAAGAAAGAAACTAAAGTTAGAAATGTGATACAGTAGATGACCAGCACAATCCATCAAACCTCATGCTTAATGTACAGGAAACATTGCTCTTGAACTATTGTAAAAGTTAGTTTAGATATTGGGGGAACAGCCCAGGGCCTACTCCAACAGAACTTCCTTTTTTTCTCCAACAGGGACAGCTGTTCTGTGTGAAGAATCCTGACAAGTTCTGAATTCTTAAAATTGTTTCTTCTTCTTCTTCTTCTTCTTCTTCTTATTATTATTATATGTCCTGAAAAGAGACCCCAATGGCACAGTGGGTTAAACTGCTGAGCTTCTGAACTTGCTGACTGAAAAGTCAGCAGTTCGAATCTGGAGAGCTTGGTGAGCTCCCACTGTTGGCCCCAGCTTCTGCCAACCATATAAATGTGAGTAGATCAATAGGTACCGCTTCGGCGGTGCTCCATGCAGTCATGCTGACCACATGACCTTGGAGGCATCTATAGACAATGCTGGCTCTGGCTTAGAAATGGAGATGAGCACCACCCAACTAGACTTAACGTCAAGGGTAAACCTTTACCTTAATCTTTATATCCTGAAAAGTGGGATATAATTAATTAGAATAAATAAGTAACTAAGCATTTACAGTCTCCTTCCCTGTGCTGCTAATCTCAATATCATAAAACCAGGCAGCAGGGACTGACTTGGAATTAATGCTCTGATGACTCCTTATGTCTATGAGTGCATCTACAATATAAAATGCCACAGAATCAAGGGGAATACTTGTTTTACAAGGTCTTTAGCTTTCCATAGCAAGACTGCAGATGCATAGCCAAAAACAAACAAACAAACAAACCAACCAACAAACAAACAAATGCCATGATTAAATAACATTGAGCCATGGCAATTAAAATGGCATTCAATTGCATTAATTCCATGGTGTAGGTGCTCTCTAAAAGGTGCAGAATATCTCAGCATTAAAGAAGAGAACCCTAGGATGCTTGCATATTTTTCTTTCCAGTAAACAGCTAGCTGGAGAGGAACTACAGTAGAGTCTCGCTTATCCAAAATAAACGGGCGGGCAGAACACTGGATAGCAAAAATGTTGGATAATAAGGAGGAATTAAGGAAAAGCCTATTAAACATCAAATTACGTTATGATTTTACAAATTAAGCACCAAAACATCACGTTTTACAACAAACTGACAGAAAAAGCAGTTCAATACATGTTAACGTTATGTAGTAATTATTGTATTTATGAATTTAGCACCAAAACATCGCAATGTATTGAAACAGCTGTGGATCCGGGCAGAGGCAAATTGTGTTGGATAATATGGTACTCTATCTTAAATCTAAAACTTCAATTATCTGGATAATTGAGACAAGAAGACATAGAACAGCACTCTATTTTCTGCTCTTCTGATGTCCATGAATAAAATTCAGTATGAATTTATTTATTCTTTAAAGCAGAGGTGGGCAACTGCCATGATTTGAGAATCTTGTGGGCCCTCATGGTACTTTGAAGGGCCACTCCATATCTGAATTTTCAACATTAAAAATAAAGCTAAAAATGCTCCTTCCTCTTGCCAGGGCATGAGAGGGGATGTATGTTCACCACATCCCTCCCATGCTATTTTAAGTCCAGCATAGACCTTTTGAATCAAGAATTAAACTGGAAATTCCAGTTTATCTTCTTGTTGGAAAAAATAGCCCAGTTTGCCTAAAATAGCCTAGCTGGGCTGAAAACACAGCAAAATTGTCACTCATAATCCTTAGGCCATTTTTGCAAGGGGAAAGGTGAAATATTGCTATTCCTTACACTTCCAGAAGGGTGTTAGAAGCTTCATGTTCTCTATAAGCTGCACTTTTCTCATTCTACTACGGTACCAATCTATTTGGCTGCTCTCTGTGTTTTCACACATGACCTTTGATTTTTGCAAATTATAGACCACAACTAACTATTTCTTAAATTACAATGTCATACTGAGTTATTAGCCCTGTACACATCTCTAGCTCTTGTTTACCTCACTGTGCTACTCTGGATAATGATATATTGATAGCAGTGACCTTATATCAGTTATGAACGTTTACCTTTCACTTGTAACTCCCTGTATTAAGAAAAGCTGAGACAACCTTAACCATGAGAACTATAAGGTAAAGGCAAAGATTTTCCCAGACATTAAGTCTGGTTGTTTCTGACTCTGGGGGTGGGGCTCATCTCCATTTCTAAGCCAAAGAGCCAGTATTGTCCGTAGACACCTCCAAGGTCATGTGGCCAGCATGACTGAAAGGAGTGCTGTTACCTTCCTGTGGAAGCGGTACCTACTGATCAACTCATATTTACATGTTTTCAAACTACTAGGTTGTCAGAAGCTGGGCCTTACAGCAGGAACTCATCCCGCACCTCAGATTTGAACCACCAACCATTCGGTCAGCAAGTTCGCCACTGCATTACCAGGGGGCCCAGAGAACTATAGAACCTTATTAATACATATAATTTTGTTTTATGAAGCTACACTGTGAAAAAGCAGTGTTCCAACTAAGATGTTATCAGGATATGATCAGCAAATGGTTGATATGAATGAGAAATCTATCATCTGAATATGCTTTACCTGCTTGGTGACAGCCAAACTGATTTGATGCCATTACTCATAGAAGCCCTTCCTTTGCAGTCTTCTCACTGTGCCAATTTTGCCTCAGGTGCCCTCTAATACTCAAAGTTGTTCCTATGCCTTATTAAGATTGGCTTCCTCACAATAAAAATTCCATAACTATCAAGGGAATACCTGAGTGCCAAAGTGTTCTCTAATAAGGTAACATCTCCATAAGAAGCAAATTATGTTTGATGCTTATCACTTCAGATATCTCTCTCTCATCAACAACAACAGATTTTGCTTACCTTGTTCAAAAGGGGATTAATACATAACAAAGGTCATTATGCTTTCTAAGTGAAGGGTAAAACAATGGCTAATATGCTGATAGTATTTCCAAGTTCAGTTGTAAAGACTTTGATTACTACAAAATATGTTTTTAGCAGCAGGAAGTTTGTACAGAACACCTGCTTGCATCAATAGCCTAATATTGTTTTAGTTATACTGAACCACTTCACTGTTAAGCAGCATCTAGTATTAGTGTGAACTCAACTAGAGAATGTCAGCAGTTCTGTAGCCAAAGGATATCCATTGTGAAAAAAGAAGGGGATGTCATCATGTTCAAGAGAACCCAACATATTACATAAACACCCACATTCAACTAGAAAAAACACACAATTTAAAACCTCTGAAACAGCCGAATGAGAACTGTGCGTGATTAGAGGCTGAAAGAGGGCATGGCTGGTTGGCAAACTGTTTTTACTGCAGGTCTTACTTGCCAAGGACAATTGGAAAAATGGCTTAGGTTGGATGAGTGGGGGATTAAAATATCTCTAACAGTAATCTAAAAACAATAGTACTTTATGATCTTTATTTTATTTGAAGTCTTATTTATCATGAATCCATAGAACCAGGGGAGTGAAAAATCTATATACAAACACAACATTATTCTGTTAGCAACTCAACATTGATTTGCAATGGAAAATAACCCACAGAGAGGTCTGAATGGTTTTTGGATTTTACTGAAGTATAAAAAATGAAGCTGGTATTGGAAAACTGAGAGGAAGCCAACAGGTCAGTTCTATTCCAACACACCCACAGTCTAGTAGAAAAATCTTTGACAAGAAAATTGTGTACACAGAAAAATATGGAACAGATATTATCTCTGGAATGACTAGTTATCACAAAAGCAAATAAGAGGAATAGCCGGACACGACATAATAGAAGTGATAAAAGGCAAGTGATTCCAAAACTCACAGTAATTGAGATTTATTTCAATATGAGTCAGTAGAGGGCAGTAGCAAATTCATAAAAGATACACATTATGCACTCAAGAATGAAATTATTTCTGTAATACCTGCATATAGGACAGCTTCAATGCGGTCCTTTATAAGCTCAGTGCTGGTATCATGTGGAAGTGGAATTGCTGAGGTACCGTTTGGCCCTGGAACTATCAAGGGCCCTACTAAAAATGCACATGCACCACCAAGGTAAACGAGCAAAGATGCAATGGCTGTGGCAGTGGCACGCTCATCAGGTGAAAACCATGTTGTAGAAAGAAATGGAGCAGCGCTGCTTACGGTTGGGCCTGCCAATCCATTCAACAGTTGCCCTCCATGAATCAACCTGTAGAGGAGAAAAAAGAAGAAAATTGATGTTTATTTGCTAGATAGCAAGCTCCTATGAACGTGGCAGAAGGAAGTGATCAGTGTCTCCCTCCGAGCTGAGTTTTGTAGACACTGAAAAAGAGTAGAAGGGGCTGTCTCTGCTTGGGAGTTCTCCACAACATGGCATAAAGGTGTAAAATCGAACTACATCCTATCCACAGAGAAAAATGAGATTAGTGACTAATAACTGTTCCGGAAGACTAGCCCATTTTTGTCAACTTCTGCTAATAAAGCCCAGGGATATATTTTAAAGATATTTGCTTAACAGATTATAAAATTGCATATTTACAGGAAAATAGCCTGAAACAGCGTAATGACATTGTCTGGATATATAAAATGTTCTGAGTTAGTTTTGTTAGGCAATTCCGTTCAGTGGAATTTCTATGGCCACAATTGTTTTTTAAGTCTCAGTAAGAGTAAATTCATTTAGTTAACTATAACCTAGTAAATAAACAAATAAATTCTACAATTGGGACTGTCTGAATTTAGGCCTTTGACACAAAGGTTAAATGTCTTGAGAAGTTTAAACAATAGGCGAGTGGTTCCCAACCTTTTCTTGACCAGGGACCACTTGACCAGGGACCACTTTGACCAGGGACTGCTCTCTGACATTAATACCCAATTTTCCTAGTTCTAACAGACCTCATTACCTCTGAGGATGCTTGCCATAGATGCAGGCGAAACGTCAGGAGAGAATGCCTCTAGAACATGGCCATAAAGCCCGAAAAAACCTACAACAACCCAGTGATTCCGGCCACTAAATCCTTCGACGATAAGTGCTACTTTTCAAATATGGTTTAGATTGCTCTCCCGTCCCTTGTGCATGACAGAGAATAATTCATCAGCCCATGGAGTGAGATCTCGGCACAATGGATGGGCTGCATCTCCATTTGATGGCTCATGAGTGACAGCTGGTATCAGGAGAGGGATCATTGTCTATTAAAACTGTATGCAGATGCAGTGGAAGATGCTTGAACACAGCTTCATTTCTGGTAGCAGCTAAAGTCTACATAAATTTTCCATAACCAGATTTGCTGAAATAACATGACAGTGTAACAATAGGCATCCGTATATTCTCCATGGAGCACTATGCAAAACTAAACTTTTGAAATGTTGACAAATTGTTACACATTTCCAGGACTTTTGCAGATATATTGGTCTTCTTCCAATGTGGTTAATTATCTCCTATCGCGTGTAATTGCCCAGCAAGCTTAACAATACACAGTATAATTCATTATCTGCTCTGTAATGAACGACATCTCTCCAGGTAGATATAGAGAGAGTCCTTTGTACAAGTGACTGCATTTCAGTGATGATTAGAGACACAAACCTTTAATTAGCAAAATCACTTTGGATTGAAATCTGTGACAGCTCTGGAAGTGTACACTGGGGAAAGCTGCTACTATGAAATAAACTCAGGCACCATTGTATAAGTAAAATGGAATCTTAATTTGCACTGGAAGTATAATATACAAAAGAGGAAACAGTTTGTGTAAAGGGAAAACAATCAAATTCCAAAGCTTTCCATCAAAACATCACAATTGGCAAAAACAAAGAGAATGTCACACTGAAGGTCTTCAATTGGCATTGCTTTTGCAGTATTAAATAAGGAATGCATGTCCAACGACTTAATGTTTGAACAAACAGAAAAGAAAGACACCCTGAAAAGGAAAAATGACAGATGCTAGCAAATTCACTCCTCTTCTCTGCTGATCAGATTGGCTGAATAAAAACAGGACAGAAGAGGATTAAAAAAAACCCTATTGTTGCTGCCAAATGGGCTGTTGATAAAGACCCAAGCTGACCAGACTGATTGTCCCTATCTTTGCAATGTCTAAGCAAAATTACCATCACCATACTCCTGCCCATAAAAGTAGAAGATCAATTATCTTCTCTTCCTTTATGGACTAAACCCACTGTCTGAGTGGCAAATTTTCAATGGAATTTAAACATTTAAGGCAACTAATCTAATCTATGAAATTTAATAGTAAAACTCTTGATTTGTTGTTTACAGAACTAAAATTACAAAGAAATTAAATTTGAATTTAACTGTCATTTTCATGTTTCTCTAAGTGATCTGTTCTACTTAATATGGCTTATTTATTATAACTTACCAAATCCGTCATTTAAGCCATGTGACTGAAAGATTCCTAAGAGAAGACAAAGCCATTTTAACTTAGTAAGATACCCCCCACTTAAATGTTGCAAAAGCACCCGATTCCATATGATCATGAAAGCTAAGCAAAGCCAGTCTGGATTTGGACTTGAATGGGAGACTGTCCATGATGTATTTCAGAGGAAACAGCTGGTAAAACTGCCTCTGAGTATTTTTCACCTAAGAAAACCCTATGAAATTCATGGGGTCACCAAAAGTTGATAGGAGTCTTGGAGATACATACTTGTACAAAAAATGTCCCTATACCCATCTGTGTGTAAAGTTTAATGATATTTGGAAAGACTGTGAACATCTGATAAAGGCTGAAAACCACAAAATATTATGCCAAATAAAATTTTGTTGGGTGTCATAAGAATATTTATTGTTTTCAGGGGTAGAGTAAGAGTAGAGTGGTAGAGTAATATAGAAACTAAGTGAGAGTCAATGATCAAATTCATGCTAGTGGCATTTACCTTGGTTTTTTTTCCTCCAAACCCAAGAGCTCCATGTCTTGGAACAAATATTTTGAAAGTATTGCTTTATTGAAAGTTCTCTACCATATGCTTGTATTAATTCACTGATTCATGAACTCAGCCTGAATTAAGTTGTTTTTCATCGGTTTTCTGTATATCTCTACCTTATCTTCCTAGAAGCAGACAGAAAGGAAAGACTCATAATGTGGTTCAAGGTATGCAGCAATCTGCTATTATTCTAGGAGACAAATTTGTGGCAGCTAATATAACTGACAGAGAAATATGAACACAACAGTATCAGTGCATTTTGCTGTTTGTTATAGTGTCTTATTATCACTGCAGCAGATTTCAGCCTGAAAAGACTATCAGACCTCTCTTACAGACCATCATCTGTTCTGAAAATTGCTCTGCGATTAGAAACATTTGTTACTGTTATTTCCCCATTTTCTCCTTGTTTCTGTTATCCAAAGGGAGCAAAGAGCAACTGCATTTTCCCTCATCGCTTCATACTGTAATTTAAGTTTGATTCTGTAATGCAAGATGTCTTTTGTATGAAAGATGAGGATAGCAAGACAATTTTGTTCAGCACTTGGCCCAACAGGAAAGCATTTTTAGAACTGGGCATGCAAAGACTTGCATTTTGATCGATTTCCATATCCAGCATTTTGATCTTGGGTTTGTATATTACTTTTCCAATATTCAGCTAATTATTTTCAGGTATAAGGCAATGTCATGAACATTGAGAGTTTCGTCCAGAGTGTTAAGCTTTTTGTAACAAGGTTGAAACTAATGCAACAAAACAAAAGAAGGGGAACTTTTCAGCAGTGTGAGTTATGAAATAATCAATTACTTAACCTTTTGCTTCAAGACTGAGGTCTATAAAAGCTACACTAAAATGCCTGATAGTCTTTTAACAGGCTTTTCAGTCATGTCAAAGTCCTATAGCTAGCATTAACTCTGCAACGCCTTTCCCCCATAAGTAAGCAAGCTCACCTTCAAAGCACCCAACAATGCTGTGTTCTGACAGCCCTTTTGGTTCAGCACATCTCTTACTGTTTGCTTGAACAAGCCCTCTATTTCATCCATTCCGCTTGAAACCAAAATTGTAACTGTACAATATGGAAACATATTTCATTCTATGTATAGGAAACAATGTTCACAAACTAATGGCACATAGTATGTAAGCACTTGCCTCTCAACAGACTCAAACATGTCAGTTTAAGTTTGCAGGAATGTGTTTCTTTAAAATAATTATCTCAGATCCACCAGAATCTATGTAAGAGAACTTCAATATTATAAATTTAGCATGCACACTGTGTTTTCCCATGGTGTGGTCTACACCTGAGAAAAAAACAAGTCTCTATTATGACTGCACTGACATGGTTATAGGCCATTAGTGACACTGCTAGTATGTAAACATGTGCGTCATTCATAAAAGTGTATACCTATCAAGTTACATGATACCGTACTGTGTATCTATGGGGTGAATGCTCATTTTGCAATATATGAAGTGACCTCTGCTTGCTATCAACAACAGTTCCTTCAAGACAGGCTAGCTTAAATCCATGAGTTCATGTAGCTATTTTAAACTACCAAACTCATAAACAAGATTACTAAAAATTAGTCTCTGTGTATTATTTAATAAGCAAACACACTTTCCAGAGAAGCGGTAAACAAGACGTATGACAGCAGACAATGTAAAACTGCATTTCAAAAATACTGTGATTTTGTGATATAATGTCAGTAGTTCTGCATTTTTACAATGAAAAAGATACAGGTATGATCCAGGCCCCTTCCACACAACCCTATACCTCAGAATATGATCCCAGATTATCTGGCAGTATAGACTCATATAATCCAGTTGAAAGCAGTTAATTTGGGATCAGGTCCTGGGATATAAAGCAGTGTAAATACAGCTTTAGGGCCCTTCCACACAGCCCTATATCCCAGAATATCAAGGCAGATAATCCCACAATATCTGCTTTGAACTGGGTTATCTGAGTCCACACTCAGATAATGTGGGATTTTCTGCTTGATATTCTGGAATATAGGGCTGTGTTGAAGGGCCCTCAGTTAACTAAGGAGAAATGTTCCTAGGCTTTACTCCTTTAACAGCAATGTTTGTATCAGAGCTAGAAATAATATAGAAAGAATAGAGATAGCTTCTTATGTCACCAAAAAGAAGAGCATTTCAACACATTTCAGCAAGCTTTTAATCCAAAATTAACAAAATGCACATGTGAAATGAAAAAACCATGCCTGGTAAGCTTTCCATAAGTACTCAAAATACTTTGAATCTTCAAGAAACCACTTGAAAGTTTCTTCCAACAG